CACACACACACACCCCGCCTGCACACACATGGGTGTGCACATACACACACACACACCCCGCCTGCACACCCAGGGGTGCACACACACACGTGCATGCACACACCCCGCCTGCACGCACACAGGTGCACACACGCGCCCCTCACCTGCACACGGACGTGTGCGCACACTCAGGGGGGCACGCACGCTCACCCTGGCACGCTCACACCATCCTGCACCACAGCCCCTGCCTCTCGCCCCGGGGCCCCCGGTGCTGCGGGAGAGGGCCCCAGCCAAGCCGTGTCCCGCCCCCCCCGTGCCCCATCCTCCCTGGTTTTGAAGGATTTCCTCTGGCAGCGGGACGAAGGGCCCACGGGTGCCAACAGTGCAGGACTGGGACCCTCTCCCTGACTCGGTGCCCCATGGCTGCACCGCCACTGTCTCCCCGAGCATCATCTCTCCCCAACCGGGGACACGGGGGGCCGGTGCCTGGCAAGCGTGCCCCCCCCACCGTGCCGGTGCCAGGCTCTGCTGCGGCAGCACCGCGGTGCAGCTGGCCGGGAGCAGGAAGGCACGCTGTCATCGTCCGTGATGACTAGGAGGCAATTTTTTGGAAGAGCTGGGGCTCCCCAGCTGGCTCTGGAAATGCTGCGGACTCAGGATTTCTTTCTCTCCGCTCAGAAATGCGAAGGAAGCATCTTCCAGCTCCCGCTGCCGTGAATAACCACTTAAAGGAGGACGAAGCAGCACGGCGTTTCCTTAACCCAGCAAAGCGGGGCCCTTCGCGGCCGCCTGGGGCCGGCAGGGGGGGGGGGGGGCACAGAGCCCCTTCCCGAGCTGCGTGTCCGAGGATGGGGCCCTTCCTGGGATGTGGTAACCGGAGGAGAAGGAGGGGGACGGGGGGGTGTCGCCGTCCTCAGCGCCTGTGGCACAGGGACCTCACATCGCTGGGCTGGACGTGCCGCACTGCTGCTCCCGGGAAAAACCTGACCCAGGAAAAAGAACCAAAGGAGGCTTTGATCACCCGTCCCAGCCCAACGCGGAGAAGCCACGTGCGGGAACCCCGCTGCCGTCACCTGTGGGTGACAGCAGGGCTGGGGACGAGGCAGGGCTGGGGGCAAGGCTGGGCGCCTGGGCTTTGCTGTGGTGGGTGCGGGGGGGACCCTCTCCCCTCGTCCCCCGCTGCGCAGCCCTTCCAGACAGCCCTGTGTCTGCTCCGCTGCTGAAACCTGGGGGGTTTTCCCACCCTGTCCCCAGGCAAGCAGAGCGGGTGCCAGCATCCCGCAGCCTTTCCCAGCCCGGTGTCGTGTCGTGTGTCCCCCCCGCCGGGCAATTCCAGCTCTCACTGGGGAGCAGGAACACCCACATCCCCAGACAGGGCCTGCCGTGCACACCGCGGTGTGCAGAACCCGAGCCGAAAATAGGACAGACGTCATCTGCAGGCCTAGAAATCCTGCCTGCGTGCGGGGCACGGTGCGAGGGGGCCAGCTGCCTGCTGGAGCTGGGCTGGGGGAGCTGGGGGAACTGGGGGAACTGGGCTGGGGGATCTGCGCTGAGGGAGCTGGGGGAGCTGGGCTGGGGAAATGGAGGGAACTGGGCTGGGGGAGCTAACTGGGGAACTGGGGGAGCTGGGCTGCAGAACTGGGCTGCCTGCAGCGCTGACAGCTCCTGCGACACAACTCGCAGCCCAGCTGAAGCCCCACACTTGGGGCAGAAATGCCAATTTCTGGCTGCTTCCAGTACCCGGTGCTGGGAACAGGGACCGAGGGGACCAGCTTCCTCTCCTCTGCTCCAGGGCCATTTCCATCTCGTTTCCATTTGCCCCGTGCTCTCCCCAAACCCCGTCCTTTTACCCTGCCATCCCCTCGTGCACCCCGGCAGATCTCGGGAGAGATCCTGAGCTTGCACCAGGGCCAGCCTTAACCCTGCTCCTCCAATCTGCATCCCCCTGTCAGGCTATAATTAGCAGAGTGCACAGCTAAATTAGCCATGCAAACGTGGCCCACGCTGCCAGGCTCCACCGAGGGCTGCGGGTGGGGGGGGCGGCCACTGGGAGCCGGTGGGGAGATGCAAATACTGGGTTACAAAGGCTCATTGCCGAGTCGAAGAAAATGGGTTTACTGCAGGAGGCTGAACCGCTGCGATCACCGGCGAGCTCCCACGATCTTCCCGGAGCTTTCTGGCATGGCTTGGCATGGGTCGGCATGGCTTGGCATAGCTTGGCATGGCTTGGTGCTTCCTTGTGGTCCCAGCAGCGCCCAGCGTGAGCCACACATTCAGCTCTTCTCCGGGGGCTGGTGGGCAGAAAGCAGATATTTAATAATGCATGCAGTAAAACCAATTCTTCTCAATAAACCTGATTTTTTTCATCAACTTTTATTTTGCTTGCTAAAATGCAACTTATTAGCAACCCAGTTTAAACACCCAGAAGCCGCGTCAGGCACCAAGCTCGTTAGAGCCCATTAAAGCACTGAAGTGACGGCGCATAATGTCAAACCGTGCAAGCGGCTGCTGGAATAACGAAGAAGTGGGGAGTGCTGGCGGCTGCAGCCCCCCAGCAAATCCCGGTGTGGAAAAGGGCTCTGGGCAGCTGCAGCTTCCTCTGCATGTGGCATGGTTTAATATCGTTTTCTTCACCAAATAACGAAGCAGAAACGCCTGTTTTCCTTCTGGAGCTGTAAGTGCATGTGAGAGACGGGGCGAATTCCTCCGGTTCTGAAATATTGATGGACTTGGAGGAAAGAAACAGGAGACGCAGCCTGCTAACAGCCTGCCTGCTGTCTTCGTGCTCCTTCAGCTGCCAGATATACGAGGGTTGAGCAAAAAGCATTCCCGACCAGTGCACAATAATTTAAGCGACCATTTCTTTTGCCTTTGCGGCGAGCCCTTCTCCCAGTGAAACCCCACGTGCCGCTTGCCTTTCATCTTGTCCCTTAAATACACAATTTTATGTTTTCCTTCTCTTAAGCACCCAGTTATACGCATTTTTATCATCTACCAAGAAGCTTTTCTCACACAGGGCAGTGACGTACTGTTTTGTGTAGTGGCTCCGGGGACTGTGGGGATGGTCCTGGACCGCTGCCAGCGAGCAGCCGAGGGGTCTGGGGGGCTTTTTGAGGTTTCTTGATGCCTTTTGGGGGAACAGAGGCGTCCAAGGGCAGAGAGGAGCAGAGGTGTTTGCTGGATCCATCCCTGGGTCCCTCATGTCAGTGGGAAAGCAAAGCCCTGGCCACGCGCAGGTAATTAAACCAGCATCAGGCCGGCAGTGGGGATGGAGCCGCTGGTGCCACAGGGGTGGGATGTCCGTGAGGCTGCACCGCCGGTGCTCAGTGCCTCCTGCCAGGACACGCACACGTGCGCACACATGCACTCGTGTGCACACGCACTCAGTCACATACACGCATACACATGCATGTGCACGCATACAGACAGGCAGGCACACACACTCACAGGCACGTACGTGCATGCGCGCACGCACGTGATTCACGCGCGTGCATGCACACACACAGTTTGCGTGCATCCACATACACGTGCACTCCCACACACATGCACGCATGCAGAGACACACGCGCATGCACACAGGTGTGCTCACACACCTCGCACGCACACAGACACGCGCACATGCACACACAGGTGCGCTCACACACCTCGCACGCACACAGACACGCGCACATGCACACACAGGTGTGCTCAGACGCAGGCGTGCACACACGCTGGGGCAGGCCTGGCGGGACCCCTTCACACCCCACGGGGGGCTGGCTCGGCCGGCTGTGCAGAGCAGCGGGGGGGCTCTCCCAGGGGCAGAGGGTGCCTGGCCAGCTCGGGGGCCGGGGTACGGGCTGCCTCTCTGGGCTGCTCCCACCCTACGGTGATCCCCGCTCCGCTCCCTTCCCGCACGCTGCCTGGGGGGCTCCGGGCAGGGATGGGCAGAACCAGGGTGCTGCCTGTCCTGCCTGTCCTCTGCTGCGGCGTGAGGTGGGACAGAGCTGGCTGCTCCCCCCCGAGACCACGGCACGGGGCAGGGTCCGCAGGGACGGTGGCTCCGAGCAGGAGTGGGACATGCGGGAGCAGCGGCGCAAGGCAGGGAGAGGCCCCGCACGCAACTCCCACATCAGCAGCACTGGGCCCACCTGGGCGTGCAAATCATCCCCCCGGCTGGCGTGCAAACCCCCCCCCCCCGCCCCGCCGGCC